GAGTGATGTACATGATCCTTAAATATGGGCCAGTTGGGTACATCAGTACTGGCTGTTCATAAAACCCAAAGCAAACATATCATTCATCTTTGATTAGTTTTTGTCAAGTTACAGAAAACACCAAAAGTTGTCTGTAGATTAGGAGTATAAATCCACAGTCTTCACCAAATTTCCATTTGTAGAATTTTCTGGACAGGGCCAAATAATCCAAATAATCAAAGCACTAATATGTTATTTTTTCTCTCAGCATGTTCATTTTTTTCATTATGGATATACAGGAATTTAGTATCTGTATTTTTAAGTACTGAAGATGATAGCCAGAAAAGGTCTGAAACACTTAGTTTTGAACAATTTTCCAATTTTTCTATGTCAGGAGTTAATGAAATTTATTACTTAAATTATTCCATTTAAGATACAGGTAAAGTAGACATTTTTGTATACCAGAAATTGTAGGAAAAGAAACAGATACTGGATGCAATAAATATATTTTGTAATAATGTACTGGATTACAAATTATAGCTGTATTACTATAAAAAGAAAAAAAAAATCACAGGCTGCAAAGACAAAAATACAAACCCACAAGTCCAGAACCATCCTAGATGTTCTCTGTACTTATTGTTGTATACAGTTTAAAGGAAAGAATTTGTCTAATCCCAGCCAGCTAAAATATTCATAATCCACACAAAATGGCAATTAAAAGGCAACACAGAGCATTCATGGAGGGAACCCCCCCCCCATAATAATAATAATCACCAGAAGTCAAATGTGCTGTCCTGCCTGCAGATAAATGCATGTATAACATGACTGTAGTTCGGAATATGAAGAAATAAGTGTTATGGCACAGGGACTTTTTTCTATTTTCCTCTCTATTTCATGTAGCTTGTGACCTCCTTCCAGGGTAGGCAGGAGGCGCTCATCTCTCTCTTGAAATATTGTATGCAGCTCCAAATGCAGGGGCTATTCAAATCTACAGGTTGCAGTACAAATAGTGGGGTTTATCTGCATTGTTTATATGTCCACATCTATAAAAATGTTATAATTATTGAGTAGTCTTTGTTGCTAAAGATATTTATTTCATCACGTTCATTCATTTGCCCACTCAGAGTATTCAAGATTCATATTTTAGCATTTATATTTAGTGCAGTTTGTGGATGGAGGTGAATTCAAGAAATACCCTATTGTCTGGCTTTTAAATTGACTTCTAACTGATGTGCTGCTTACAAGCTTCAGCTAAGGGAATTATATATCTTCATCCTACTGCCTTGCTGATACTGTGCATCAATGGTTTTGCCTGTGTGTTTCACATCCTCGGTAAACATTTGGATTCAAAGCAAAGCCCAAGTCTTCTGGGTCCCCAGCTGCGAAGATATTTTCTGTAACCTGTGCCTAGAGTACACTCGAGCAGTAGCCTCAGGGAAGGGACAGTCACATGCAAGGAGAAAATAGTTGATTGCTTGAGCAGCACAGCTGGAGGGGAAGACTTTGAACTCTCTTGGTGAAATCGGCACATCTCTGAATGCCCTAGCCTGGGCGTGTACACCTGGCAAGGGTGTTTCAAAGATTTCAGTTGGTGTGGCAAGTTCTGAATGAAGCCGCTGAACTGGAGTGGTTTGGGTTTAAGTCGGATTTTCAAGCGTGTCCTTTGCAAATAAAAGTTGGCAAGCGTTTCTAGGCGTGCTGTACAGCCACGCTGCAGAGGAGCGAGGGCGGGACCCGCGGAGCGCCAGGGTTTGCTGCTTTCCCCTTGCCGCCGCCGGGGCCAGGACGAATAGCTGTGGTGGTCCCGGGCTCGGAGCAGCCGCAGCGGCGGCCGGGCGGGCTCTGCCAGGGCTTAGCGGAGCGTCTGGGCTTGAGATGCAGCGCCGCCCAGAGGGGCCGTGAGGCGGGCGGCGGGGCCGGGCTCGGCGGGGCTCGCTCTCGGCTTCCTCCTGCGCGGCCGGGAGGGAGCGAGCGCTCCGCACGCCCGCCCGGGCTGTGCGCGGCTGCTGCCCGCGCCCCGTGCCGCTCGCCCTGCCGGGGCTGCGGGGCCGGGCCGCAGCGGGCGCTGTCCGCGGTGCTGAGCGGAGAGCCGGGAGCGCCGCGCCGCCGGGCTCCTCGAGGTGCTGGCAAGAGTCGTATCTCCAGCGTGCCGCGGAAGGCTCGCTGACTTCATTGTCTGGCTCCTTCCCCTCGCTGGCCTCAGATTCTACGAGGATGTAAATATTTATGTTAAACCATGTCTGTTTACTCGAGACACACGCACTTCTGGAAAGCCAGAAGGAAAGGAATAAGCGTGTCGGGCATCCACCCGGCCGGGTCGCGCCTCACAGTGACTGATGGTTTAGGGGTCCTTTGTGTGGTCTTTCGTTGACTCTTTGTGCTGCAGTCCTGCCAAGACTTCCTTTGAACGTTTGTTTACATTTATAAAGACGGTTAGTTACAGTTATATTTATTACACTCTGCACTGAGCAAATGTCTTGCTCAATTGGTTGAAACCAGCTTTAAAATTATAGTCTAGATATGATAAAAGGTCGTGTTAGCTAGGGCCATTAATATCTGTAAAGGTATGTTTAAAAACTGGCCTTTGTGCTGTCGCTGTTTTTGTTACACATCTAGTTCCTAGAGAGTAAGTGTGCTCGGCAAAGCACTCGTCTTGGCTACTTAATGCTGTCAGTCGGACGGTTTCCTTTACCAAGCTGGCTTGTAAGTTTTTGCTTTTCCCTCGAGTCCTTCAGAAAGGACACAGCCCTGCTGCTCGTTGTACTGCCCAGCATCTCCTGCACAGCATGAAATTCTCTGGCTCTGTCGGCTATTTCCGCCCCTCTCTTCTCATTGCGGATTCCTCCCGGCCCCTTACGTGACATCTTTTTGAAGGGTTTGGTTTAGGCATCTGCGTAGTTACCGTGACATGCTGAAATACAGCACCGCTGTCACAACCACAAAATGTTAGCTAAGCATGTTCGGGGTGTGGGATGGAGTAACGCAGATATGGGGTTGTCGGGGTACAAAAATCTTGTTGTTTTGGTGCTTCTGGTTTTAGCAAAGGGATGTCTGGATAAAATCGTAATCTAATGGCAACACTGAGGGCAAGTCACAGGCATCCAGGTGTTCCGCTGCAGCGGTACCCGTGCCTCTGCCACCCTCTGGCGGGGAGGAGCGGGGCGAGCCGCGGGAACAGCGGGCTGAGCCAGCGGGTCACATCAGACCCTCGGCACGGCGCGGGGGGGACGGGACAGGGGGTGTTGCTAAGCTACAATTCACACGAACCCCGCCTGGCTCATTTGAGTCCCGCACCAGGCTCAGGGGAGGGCCGGGGCCACAGGGATCGCCTCACCGGTGCGCCGATGTGTTCGGTGCCTATTGGCACAGCTGGCGACCTCGGGTCAAGCCGGCGCTGTCTAGGGAAAGCCTCTGGCTCCGTCCGCACGAGGGGCTCACCGAGGGGCTCGCACGGCACAACCGCCTGCCGGGGAGTGCCGCTCCTGCCGCTGCTGGACAGCCCCACCCGCAGCGGGAGTCAGCCCCGCCGCCCCGGGGCGAAGCAAAGCAGCGGCAGCAGCCGGGGCCGGTGGGCCGCCCGTCCCCGCCCCAGCCGTCCCCAGCCCCCGTGCGGAGCGGCGCGGAGGCGGTGGCGGCAGTCCTGTGACTCATGCCTGCGTCGAAGCAGATCAACCGGCGATTCACGCTTTTAAAAAAGCAAATCCGAGCACTTCTGGAAAAAAAGGTCATCTCGCATTAAATTCCGCGGCGCGATTGGTATTCCGACGTCGTTTCTGGCAGAGTTTATAAGCGGCGGGTCGCTCCCAGGCTAGAGTCGCCCTGCCAACCTGGACTACGGCAATAAGAGTGTCCGCTCGCCCCTCGGTAAGTGTCCTCTAAACAGCATCCTATTTTTTTCCAAGCCTTTGCGAACCTCTGGAGCATTTTTTCTCCCAAAAATCCGTTTTGGTCGCTGTCGTATGAATAGAGGAATAACGGCTTTTTTGATACAGCTACAGCCCTAGACATAGTGTTAACCTGTTACTTCACTTCTAGGCATTGTCTAGAAAATATCTTCTGCTTATGGCTGTTTTCTTTCTCGTCTTAAAAAATTTAAATACCTGTTTTGCATTGAAATCATTGATCCGTTGCGTTTACACGCGGGTGTAAATCCACCCAGCAGTGGAAATAAATCGGTAGCTACCGATTTGAAAAAAGCCTCTAACAAAGAAAGCGTTCTTTCGTTACCGCGACCTTCATTTTCTTTACAAGGGGAAGAAAATAAATCGCAGGTAGACGTGGGGACAAAGAGACGAGCTGGGCAGTGACCCGGCAATTCTCGATCAGCGACCCTGTATTGGTTATCGGAACGCCGTGTCCGCCAGGAAAGAGTTGAACATCTGGCGAGGAGCGAGGGCTGATCCTGCACCTTCCTTTCCCCAGACAGACGTGCCTCTCCTGCCATTTGCGCCGCTAAAGCGAGCACGGGCAAGGGAGATCGCTGGTTAGTGCTGGAGCACAGAGTGGCCCCGGTTTGCTGAAACATGTGTGTGCAAATACGCATGTATGTGGCGCCTGCCATTGGACCTGGGCAAAACGCACCTTTGTGGTGGCGGGGTTTTGTCTGTCAGTCTTTCTTGAATGCTTAGCCTGACGTGTGTTTGGTAAAGCCTAGAAGCGGGCTGTGTCTGGGATTGTAGGTCGTTTGGGCTGGTGATTTCGAAGCCCGCTTTGCACGTTGGTCTCCATTTGATGCGAACCGTATAACTGCCCTGCTCAGTGGCCACCGATATAATTGCTCTAGGCTTCATGCTCTGCTAAATCCGTCATTCAGGGGCGGGGGGTAGCGCCCTGGAATCTAGCGAAGGGAAGATTTTGCTCTTCAGTCTGTTGAGGCATTTTCCCGGTTCGGCCGGTCCTGCCGCCGCCTCGGGACCTGCGCGGCTGCCGCCCGCTGGCGTCTGGACGGGACTCCGGTGCGGTGCTCTAGGAGACTACTAAACCAGCCTGTTCTTCCTTCCAGCAAATTCCTTGCTGCCCACCCCTCAGAGGAATATCGAGGAAATACGAGCTCCGGGGACTAGGGCTTTTCTGAAAGGATGGCTTCCTCCGCTCCCTCGTCCTCCAACGATGCTCCGGACCCCACCCCACCTAATCTGCGACCTACAAGTAGGTTTTAATATTTTCCTCGTTTTAACTGTTTTGGAGGCTTTCTCCATTTAGGCTCAGAAAGACCAGTTTCGAAACGAAATTATACATCTATGAAGCCCTGTTCCACGCCATTAAGCAAGGTGCGGAAAGTGCTCTACACAAAGAAACCATCTTCCTACTGGGAACAGGAGAGGTCGGTCCGTGGCAAATAAAACGCTGTGGGGAAAAGCCCACCTTACCGACCAACGTTGTCTTTATCTTCCAGCCACGTTTGAGAGATACAGACAATAAACTGACCTCCCAGATGGACAAAAAAAAAAAAAAAAAAAAATCGGGATGTTGGAAGGGGTGCAGAGAAAACGAATCAGTTAAAGGGCGAAGTTACACCAGGGTATTAAAGCAGGTGTCTCCCAGCTACATTTTATAAATGCTAATGCTGCAGCTTCTTTCAGCCTACACTGAAGCCTGTAATCAAGCGAAATTTGGATGCTAATTGCAGCTTTTCAAAGCGTTATGTTCCTAATTGCTCTGAATTCGCCTTGAGTTATTGAGGTGTGAGTGGGAAGCAAAGGCTGCTGCAGGTGGATAGAGAATCAGTTTATAACCCTGCCAGGCAGTTCAGACCATCCCCTACAGGAAAAAAAAAATTAAAAACCCAAACAATAAGAGGCTCGATGCTATGAAGCATCAGAGACAAAGAGCGGGCAACAGTAAGAAATGAAAGGTTGTCAGGGACAGCAGAGCGGGTAATAGCTTTTACTCTGAAAGAGCTACGAGAATCAGAGTCATTATTGTCATTATTCTGAAACTGGAGAAAACGGGGAAGGGGGCGAACGGCAGCACTGGGTCTTGTTTCAGGCGCGCGTGGCAGGCACTGCTGCCTTCGACCGAGGTGTCACTCGCAGAAATCGAATTAATGGGCAACACGGCTAAAACAAAGATAACCGCTGGCAGCGGCATCCTGCCCTGCCCACACGGGCTCCCCGCCCCCGGGCCCTGGCAGCGCCCCCGCCGAGCGGGCTCTTCCGCCCGGTCGGGAGCGCCGTGGCCTTTCCCCCGCTTTCCCTGCCCCGGGAGTCAGGCCGCTGCCCTCCGTGCTTCGGTGAGCCGTGCTCGTCCTGGTTCCTCTGAAACCTTCTCCCCTCACGCCCCAACGCCGGGTCAGCCAGCCCAGCCCCCGGTCGCCCTCTGGGGTCCATCGCTACCGGACTTGCGGCTGCCCCGTGCCGCGAGCGACGGACGGGAGAGGCTCGCTAGTGCCCGTGGCCGCGGCTGGCGCACCCTCCACCTCGGTCCTGGGCTTCGTTCCCCGCTTCCCGTGGGCTCAGCTGGGGCCACGTGAGCCACGACTCGAGGGGCTGGGAAGCAGCTTTTTCCCTCTGAGGGTGCGGTCCCAGTAGAGCCGTCGGCGCCCGTCAGTCCGTCCGAGGCTCAATGATGCGAGTCCGATCATCTAGTCAAATACTATTTTTCACCCAATTAATTCCTGAACTCTTTTGTGACCCCATTTCACGCCACTTTATTTTAAGCTGCTACTTCCCTGGAGCCCCGCCAGTAAATGATGAGATGTCGGGTCCCGGGTGCCTTCTCCTCTCCTCTGGGCAGGCCAGCATGTCACCTCGCTGTCATCCGAGCCTCAGCTGCCCCGCGCCTAGCGCCGCCGGGCTCGTAGTCAGCCGTTTCTCACCGCGATGCAGCCGTGCGGGGGTCCGGGGTGGGGGGCGCGGCGGCCGGACAGCCCCGCCGCCCCAGGGGAACAACTCTGCTCTCTCTTCCAGCTTACGACTCGTGGTGCGGCGTGGCTCACGGGTGCACCAGGAAGATCGGGCTGAAGATATGCGGTAAGTGCGGCCGTGCCTCCCGGTACGGCACCCCGCGCACCCACGCGTGAAGTACGCGGCCGCCCCCGCCGTGCCCTGCCGCGGGCTGGGGCCGCGGTGTGTTCGCCGCGGGAGGGACGGCGGCGGCCCCGCTGCCCCTCCTGCCGCACTCGGTGGGTGCCGGCGCCGGGCGCTCCGGGTGAAAAAAGCGCAGGACCCGCCGGGGAGACCCGTGGGGAGGAAAAGCTGGGGGCGGGGGACCGGTTCGCCGCCTCTCACTGTCTGAAATTTTTCAACCTTATCTGACTAGAAAATACGGATCTCCTGGGGAAAAAAAGATTAACGAGAGCCTTATTAAAGAGCAATTCGTCAGCTTGCTGTGCTGGTAAGATAGCGCTGGCAGCCAGTCAGCGCGCAGGCACATGAAATGCAGAAGGGAAACAAATGCACAATCAGATCGCAACATTATAGCAAGAGATTCATTTGCAGATAACAAGCTGTCTTCCTTCTCTAGATATCTCAGTAGCGCCTTCGCTTTCAGAGGCTAACAGTCAAATCTTCATATTCTGATGAGGGAATCATTCCGTTTAGCCCATACCCCTGACGCATAGAAATTATTTCCCCTTTTCCCCTCTGTCTCTTGGGGGGGGGATGGGAAATATGTCGTGGGAGAAACGAACCTTTTTTTCGATGCAAAGGGACATTTAAACCTCTTTAAACCTCTTTCCCTGCTTGCTCGAGTCGAAGTTCATTCATTAAGCGTTTTGTCACATGGAAGTTGGAACGGGAAAAGAATCGGGGTGCAAATGTTTAGCCTCGTGTCTGTGAGAGATTTCAGTGGTAGCCGCTGGCGACATTAACGAGTAGTCGCTTAGTTCTATAAATAGCTCCTGATCTGGGTTTAATGGACCATTTCCCTACCAGTCCCCTCAGTGGCTGGAGCGATGGGCATTTTCACCATCATTTTAATTAAGCCCGGCAAGCAGAACTGATAAAGTAACGCATTTAGGCTTGCTCCGTGTTGCTAGACTGTGGGGGTTAGAGAAGGACAGCGCAGCTTCTCTCAATGAGATCAAATACGCTTGAAAATGAAATATCCCACCATTTTGGATTTGAGAAGGGCATAAGAGAGCGTAGTGAAGGCTTTGTGAAGGGAGTTCAAGACAAGCTGTATTTCTGGTTGTGGTTTGGTGCTGTTTTCCTTTACTGGCTCTTTTCTGTTTTACATGAAAAATATACTCTGAATAGTGAGTGATGCCATTTTGGAATACTCAGATTTGATCACGACCGCTGTTTTTGCTTGTATGAGCCCTCCCATTCGAATCGAACACCTTCACAAAGACATACAGGGAAGGTTGCCTATGGTAAACACAGTGAAGTATTAAGGTTGCCAAGAATCCTAATTAAACATGCTAAACGAACTGACATTTGACTGTTGCAGGTGATACCTCCTTGTCCTTACCTTTCACAAGATGTCATTCCGGATGCTAAATATTGTATAGTCACAAAGGCGCCTTGGAATTGTTCCTTTTGTGTGTATCGCACTGAAATCGATTAATTTTGAATGCAAACTTTAAATAAGGGTTGACCTCAGAGAAAAGGCAGGTCTTGAACAATGAGTTGGTTCTTCCATCTGAGTTGTGTATTATGGGTTTGACATTTTCAATAATTACGTATCCAAGATGTACGTAATTTCTTCTTAAATAACTGAGCGATTTAAGGATTAGCTTTTTTTCCTTTTCTGGTTGAAAGCCACCACCTGAAAAGAGCGCTGCTGCTACCACCACCCCCACCCCTCCCGACCCCTTCCCCCCCCTTCATCTCTGCACATATCCACCTAAAAAAACCAAACCAAAAAAAAAAAAAAAAAAAACCCAAACCCCCAAAAAACCTAACTCAAACAAAAAAAAAACCCTCCAAAACCCAACCCCCTATTTTAAGAGGTTTAATGAACTGTCACGGCGGCCAAAATATGGGCAGATTTCCCCCTGTATCTGGATTTGTATGCTACACTCCCACCATGGCAATTGTTACTGCTGAGACTGATCCTGTTAACATTTGGCACCAGTGGAATGTTCACCGTAGTAAAACTGCTCCGGTGCGTCTCCTCTTTGGCCTCGGCCAGCTGATGATTCCAAACCCAGTGAGCAACGTGGGAGAGTGGAGCTTCCAAAGCAACCATGCATGCTAGAAACTGGGCTTGTCTCCGGAGTCCGTGGGATTTATGCTGCCAAGCATAATTTACGTGGGTGGTGCTAAACGCCCCGACGGCGGCGGGGTCCAGGATCTCCTGCAGCCGCCACCGCCGTGCACCCCCGATGGCTGCGGTGGCGCCGGGACCCGGCAGGACTGTCCCCGAAGACGAGTGTCCACCCAGGGCTGCGGCGCCGAGGGGGGCTCAACACCTGCCTTGTGCGAGGCCTGATGTGAAATCACGCTGAATTTGTGGTGGCGTTGCGCACCGAGGTACTCCCTCACCAGTCCGGTGTCACTGGGCTCTTGGAAACTCGGTCTCTTAAAGCACATCGGTGAAAATGCACCTGCGAAACGGATCTACTGCTGAAAGAGGCTGCGCTCTCCGCTGCTCCGGGAGAAGCAGCGCGGACACTATTTCATACTCTGCTACTTGCTGGAAGTGTCCTACACCGGCGTCGCTTTTCAGGCAGGATACAGATGAAAGGTCGGCTACAGTCATGCGCTTCTCCCCGGGAGCGGAAGGAGCCTTCGAGGGCCGGCTGTTACGCTTCTCTGCAGACAGCGACGGTGCTGGGGAACGTCCCACACCCTCCCAGAGAGGGGCTCGGCAAACGAAATGGTCCGGCAGCTGCAGAGCGGGGGCTGCCCCTGTCCCACGGGCTCTCCCTTATACCGAGCCTCCAGGTCCACCAGACACTGCCGTAGCCGAGGGACTGGAGGGAACGGCATGTCACCTACAGCCGGGCGGGCTGATGTCGACCGACAGCGCGATCCTGGCCTTCAGGCTTTTTTTCGTCCTCTAATCTCCGCCCTCGAGCCTCCCGAGCCCCGGGTCGCCACGAGGCGCAGGGTGACAGGCCCCGCCCGCGGCCGCTCCGAGCCCCAGCTGATCCCCGTCGCCGGCTGCGGGACACGACGGGGCCGGGGAGCCTCCGCGGGGAACAACAGCCCAGAGTCGTTCGGGCAAGGACTGAGCTCCCTGTCCGCAGCGTCTAGTTAGGTCAGACCCTTCAGCGATGGCACGGCCTCGCTAGGCCCGATGAGAGTTGAACTGGAGGCGACTGCAGCCTTCCTCTGTTACTGGAGCGGTGCTGCCTCCTTCCCAGCCCTCGTCTGCGCGCCGAGGGGAGCGCCAGCTGTGCCAGGAGCACGGCTCTCGGGGCAAGCGGAACGCGGCTGCTCCTGCGGGCGTCTCTTCTCACGGAACCCGTCCCACCTGAGCATCGCTACTGAGAGCCTGAAAAAAAGACGGGTGGAGGGAAAACAAAGCAAAATCAAATCCCAGGACCTGGTAAAAGAGGATCCATAATTCAGATTAGACTGCACCTGCTTTGATATCTGCTGCTCCTCCTAATGAGCAGGAAAATAGCACTAGCTGTTGCAGGAGATAATGATCCCTGCAAGAGCCATTAGAAGCAGTACATATATATACATATATATGTATGTATTACATATATATATGTGTATATATGGACGGCTACTCTGAACTTATGCATGAAGAGAGTTTCCCTTAAATAGTCTTTGTCTCATTCGTAAAAGCATCACAGAAAAAGACTAATCAGTAGAAGATCAGAATTAAAAGGCAGAACGTGCGATGTTCACTGAAAGTATGGCTCTGACAAACTTACCTGTGAGTGACCCTCCTGGAGACTCGTCTGGGTACCCGACTGATGCAGAAGGGCCTGCCAGCCGAGTGCTCCGTTTTCGATGGCTTTTTTGTGACCGCCTGGCTGGCAGCAAGGTCCGAGGCACAGGTACCGCGCCGGGAGCAATTGGCCAAGCAGCTCACTGTCGCTCGCTTTTCTCCCGCGACGTTCAGCCCCTATGCCTGCCCAAGGTGCAGGGGTCCCGAATGGGCCGGCGGTGGGCCATCGGGAGATGGGAGGTGCCCACAGTCCCGGTCCGCCGTCTCGGCTCCGGAGAGCAGGGACATCTGGCCGGAAAGCGGAGGGCGCTGAAGAGAAGCGGCGTCGGGGAACGTGGGTGAGCGAACTCAGGACATTCGTTTTCCTCCCTGCTGAGCCCTCTGGCGGATATCCCCAGCCGCGACGAGCCTTGCATTCGATTGTTGCTTGTTTTAAAAGAAAATAAAGAATAAAGGAGACCGGCGCCACTGTAGTGCCTCTTCCAAACATACAGGCACACTCCGTGCAACCCGGAAGGTCAAAATCCTATGCAGTCCTCAAAGACAAAAAGCCCGACACTATGCGTGTTTTAGTGGGCATCATAGATTTAATATATTAAATCCAGAAACTTAATTGTTCCCCCTGCCTTGTTAAAGTAGACCTCACTACTCGCTGCGGACTCTGCATGGCTCCCGCCCCAATAATTCTTGGGGTGAGTGGGTTTATTATTGCCGTGACATATAACAGCAGCAGTTGTGTTCGGGTTCTGGGTGCCAAAGATGCGTTTCCGGTGAGAGCGGAGCTCTTAAGACCTCCGGGGAATGATTACTGTTAGCATCAAAGCATCTTTTCAGGTGGAAAATCCGCTTCAGTACTTAATGATAATAGGAAAGTGGGGTTGTATATGTGCTACTGGTATCCTCAGAGCTCTAGCACTCTCAGGACGGATGCTCCAGAATGGCTGCTTGTTCTCATGCCTTTTGTGCGTGAGAGCACCACGAGGAGAGCTGAAAATGGCCCTGATTTTAATCGTACATCATTGCCCCTGTCTGCTAGGTCCATAAACTTCGCCTGCAGGCTGAAATAGCATTGACTCATCCTGAACTCTCTTCAGCTGATTACTGAAGTGGAATCTGTCTGATCGACTTAATAAGAATTTACCAGTGCACTAAATGACGAAATTTTGTTTTTTGCATGGCTGCGTTTTTGCAGTTGATGGCATTTTGAACTCTCCCTCCTGGAGGCAAATAATCCCCATAAATACCCTTATTCCTGACCTCATTAGTCAGATCTAGAGCCAACACTGCTTTTAACTGTTGTCTAGAGAGCTGCTTTAGTTATTTCTAAACATGTTGGGAAGTGAGAAAGCTCTGACCTGTGCACCTTGCAATAATAATGCAGGATTCCTGCAAAGGACCAACAGCCTGGAAGACAAGGGCCGGATCGTCAGCTCTCTGAAGGAAAAGCAGTCCTCCAAGAGCATGCTGGCATGCGAGAACAGTGAGAAGGGATCCAGGTTCCGGCGCACCGAGACAGACTTTTCCAATCTGTATGCCAGAGGTAAACACTTTACAGTTTTTCCTTGCTCCAGCTCAGGCATGTCCCTTAGTAGTCTTGCCCTCATCTCCCCTGGAAGTGCAGCCATGTTTAGGCTGTGTTTTTCCTTGGCTGTTTTTGAAGGGAGCTCTGTGTCTGTGTTTTTTGGGAGCTGCACTGGTGATGTATGCAAGCTGCCTGAAAAGCAGTTTTATGTACTTTGGGCTAATCATCTGCAGCTCAGCTTCAGGGTTTGCAGGGGTTTCTCCACATCCAGTATCTGGGAGGAGAGTAATTCTATGTTTTTATCCTCCTTAGTAAAGTAGTAATGAAGCAGCCTGTGATTGCTGGTATGGGGCCATTGCAAGAGGAGTGGAAAAGGGACAGCAATCCCTTTGTGGGGCAGAGGTGGGATGCTGCAAGGTAAGGGCAGGTGTGGATTTTGGGTGCTTTTGGCCCACGGGAGGCGAGTGCCTCGCGCCGCACAACCTTTGCATTGCAGGGCATGCTCTTAGGCCGGGGTGCCTTGGAGGTACCTCTGCTGCTGCCATGGGTGACCCAGGCTCACCCTCCTCCATGGGGCGAGAGGGACCGGGAGTCTGCCCAGCTGCAGCCAGGCAGCACTGGGACCACGGCTTCCAGCTCCTTGGAATGCTGTGGGCAGCTGAAGCTGGTTCATCTCTGCTTCTCTCTCCCAAAGCATGCACTGACTGCTGGTTTGCCCCACAGATTTGTTGCCCTCCAAGAATGGTGAGGAGCAGACCATGCAGTTTCTGCTGGAGGTTGTGGACATCCTCCTCAACTACGTGAGGAAGACTTTTGACAGATCCACCAAAGTGCTGGACTTCCACCACCCACATCAGCTCCTGGAAGGCATGGAGGGCTTCAACCTGGAGCTTTCAGACAACCCTGAGTCCCTGGAGCAGATTCTGGTGGATTGTCGGGACACACTGAAATACGGAGTGAGAACAGGTAGGTTTTTGCACACTACTCTGTGGCGAGTCTCTCCTGGGACTTTTCTCGGGCTCACGGTGAAGAGAGCTTGACAGCTCAAGGAGGTAAGCTCACACCCTCTCTATGCCCGTGACTGTGCCTCCGTGCAGGCTCGGCTCCAGGGCTGGCTGCAGGCACTGGAAATATTTCTGCACAGAAACTTCATTTATTGATGACCATCCGTCCCTGCCGGGTAGGGCTCAGTGCTGTTTTTAGAGCACAGAAACAAGTTTTTAAGACGTAATCTCTTTCACTTGATGAAACGCGAGCTGTCTGTATCTCTGGGGAGCAATATCATTAGGTAAATGAGGGCATAAATGACACGGAATTTGCAATTTTTCTTTTTTATGTTCATCAAACGTTTAATGAAAAAGAGACTGAAATCCTAGGAATCAATAAAGGAACCCTGTGGATTTCAGCCCATTACCCAGGAGCCCTGCCTGTCCAGGTCCTTCTGAATGAGACAGAAATCCCAGTTTGTAATCACTTATTTTACTGGGTCAGCTGTAGGTAGGCTCTAGAGCAAAGTCAATGCTCTTTCAGGCTATTTGGCCTGAAATGTTTTATATAGGATCCACAAGAATCTTGGCTGGCAACTAGCCCTGACTGCTGTACGTACCCAAGCGGGTCAGGAACTGGAGCGGTAATGGAGCGTGCCGAGTTTCCTGTCTCCAGCCTTGCTCCAGCGTTTCAGGGCTGCTGAGCTCTGCCTGGCCAGCTGCCCTCTTCGGCACGGCTCGGCTCGGCTCGGCCGCAGCGGGCGGCAATCTCCCCGCGGAGCCGGAGCGGCGGAGCTCAGGCCGGGAGGCTGTTTCCCGGCGGGCTCCGGCTGGGCAGCTGCGGGCCGTGGCTCCTGAAGGACGGGACGCAGCTTTCTGCGGTGGCTAGTTTTGTAGCCGTGAAAACCCAGTGCAGTGCATTCAAGGAGCAAAATCTTGACAACAGATGTGGCGGGTAGCGTTCTGCCCTTTTTCCTATTTACATGATGGTTTTATCGATTCAGTGGAGTCAGGAGCATACTTTGATTTTTGTACTCTTAATCAATGGGGAGAGCGTTTCACTCCCAAACGCGTGGGTTGTTGGACAGGTGGCCTGAGGTTAAGTCAGAGTGCCTTCGCTCTGTATGCTTGCACCATTATTCCGCTATTCATTGTGCCCAAGTCGTGCAGCCTCCTTCCCTCACCCCGACCTCCCCTGGAGCTTCTGTGGAGCCAGCAGGACGTGTCCCCAGGCAGGTATCCGACCGGACACAAGCTCTGTTCAAAGCGGTGTCTGGTGCAGCTTTAAAGTGCTGCTCGGATCGCCTGACTGCCCAGGACATGCATTCTGCTGTGGGCTCCTGGGGCCCATTCTCTCTCAAGCTCCCTTCAAAGTCACCGGGTCTGAATCTGCAGCCCAGCCTTAGGAGATCGCAGGCTCGTTCACAGCTATGGGAGGTCAGCGAGATGTCCCTGAAGATAACTTGCCAGTCAGTGTGCCCTGGAAAGGGAGAGAAGTGCTGATTTGTAAAGCAAACAGCTAACCACGGTGGTATTTCTGGGCTCTAGCCCCGAGCCGTGGGTTCCTCGGGCGGGAGCAGCCCGGGTGCGACGTATCCTCTTCACGAAGTGTCGCTATGTGGCAGCGCCGGCAGGCTCACGCCTCCAAAAGATTTCTGCTGACATCGCTCGGGGCAGAATCGCATTTATTTCTTCATGTCAAAAGATGCTGATGTTCCTAGTGTTGAACCGAATCCGACGTGACAGGGTCCCCTCCAGGCGTCGAGAGCTGACCTCTCTTCTAGGGCCGGGCTGTCCCCAGTGTGCTGTCTGCGTGTCCTTCTCCGAGAGCAGAGAGGTCTAAATCATGACACCTCCCACCTCCCCTCAGCGCCCGATACCAGTTGTTAGGAATTTCCTCTCTTCATGCTAGAAAAGTAGGTCCCCAAGACTCGGGATTATTGCTTATGAAAGTAGTTAAAGCAACTTGGGCTGAAATACAGGGATGTGCTTTACTTCCGTTCAATAGCAAACTCTGTTTAAGGAGGTGAATTCTCGCTTATAAACCGTGTGGGGAAAGGGCCCGAGTCGAGGAGCTCTTGCGGGGCCCTGTCCCCTCTGCAGAGCTGGGACATTCCTGCCGAGACCCCGCAAAACGTCTCTCCCGTGTCCTTGTAGCTCGGGAAGAGACTGGCTCCTCCGTAGCCCTGTCTCACTCTTGCAGCCCCAGTTCAAGTGCCTGAGCCTCCCTCTGTTCCTCGATTCGAATGCAAATAGCCCCGGCACCTGGAGGTTGTTACTGCCGAGGGGGTGTTCCCCAGCCTGTACTCCTCTCCCGAGCTCACAGCCCGGCAGAAGTCAGAAGAGGGCCCTGGAAATGGGTAGCCCAGGCCCTTGGGCAGGTCCCGGAGGTGTTTACAGGCTCAGTCGATTCTGAGGTTCTCTTTTAAAGGCAAATGATTCCATACAGAGGCTCCCATCCGAAGCATTTTTTCAAGTTTGTAATAAGACATCCGTCTCCCCATAAGCAGGACTTGCTTTGAAAACTTTGCTGCAGGTATTCTGAGTACAAACCTGTGATTTGTGTCAGAAAAGGTGGATGGTTTAATTCTGAAACCTGAGAGATACCGGTAGAGTTTGTTCTAAGTTTGTCTCAATTCTCTTTTCAGGTCACCCTCGCTTTTTCAATCAGCTGTCCACAGGACTGGACATTATTGGCTTGGCTGGGGAGTGGCTGACATCTACTGCTAACACAAACATGTAAGCAGTGTCTTGTCACCAGAGTCTGGGACTGGTGCTTACACGGGCTGCCATGTATCATGGTAGATAGGTATTGTCACTGATGAATAATTTTCATTTTTAAATGATGAATGTTACATCTTCCAGAAAAATGTCTCATGTTTTTCTTAATGTGTCAGTAATACAATGAAAATAATTACATAAAACTGAAAAGTTTTAGGTTTCTTATAAATAGAAATGCAAATATCTGAGAGCACATGGTAAGTAAAACATGATTATTCTAACATAATAACATGAAATTACTTTTCTTCTTTCGGACCAATATTCTCTATATTTTTTTTAAAAAAAAGCCTTGTCTCTAGACTGAACAGGTCTGCAGCTATCCACACGTTAACACTAGAACACAAGATGTGGAAAAATTTATTTTCTTCTGTACTGTTGACTTCAGAAATAACAGGCTTGAGGCAATACCTTTTGTTCATGTGCTAGTAAAGAAGTGGCTTCTGGATAGCTTCAGTTATTAAAAATGTAACACTGAAAAATAATTTTATGCTAACGAAGGAATTAGTTTAAGATTAATAAAGTTGTGTGTAAATAAATAAAGGTAAGTATAAAAAAAGTAAAATTTGACATCTGAATTCATCAAATAAGAAAATTTTCCTAATTTTTCTTGACCTCAAAGTTAATGAAAGCTAAATGTCATTGTAAGGTATTACGATGAATTTTTGTAGTAGAGTAAAATTCATGAAAAAAACCCCCAAAAAAATAACACTAAACAAAAACATCCACAAAAAAACCCAAAAAACCCCAACCCCAAACCAACCAAAAAACCTTCCAAACCGCTAAAAACCCACCCAACCTTCTAGTCAGTTTTTATTTATATTTTGATTTCTATATGTCAAAAACGTGAAGAGAGTCCACATATTCAGCAGGTAAGATTGCTCTCTTTTAGTCCTGAATGTGTTTTAACTGTAAGGGGACCTCTGCTTTGGGGAGTTTGTTGCTAATTGTCATAACATATGAAATCAGATTTTCAGATTGGAAAATGAACAATATTTTCACTGGCCATCTGTGAGTATATGGTTCATTAAATATACCTGATGACTAGCAGCTCTGTGTATATTAGAGCTGTGCCTGTTTTGTGACATTAACAGTAAAATAAAAACCTAAGGTGCTCGAGCCAAAGCCAGCCTTCTCTTTGTAATAATCATCTCAGTTAGTTCTGTTTGCTGAAAATTGGTATGAGACATTCAGATTTAAAGCTGGTTGGGAAGAAAACCCAGCAATATATATTTTAATTATTAAACAAGTATTATAAAAGCTTTAAAGAGCTTTGAGGTGCCTTTTTAGCAGCACAATTAAAAGTGAAAACAGTTCTGATCACATTTCTAAAAAAACTTTGCTTAAAGGCTGTTTCTCTGTGACCAGTATTTCAGTGTCACTTTTTCCAAGCCCATTTGGCTAACTTAGTTATCCCAGTTTAGTTATCCTTCTGTAATCAGTGAAATTACACAAATCTGATAAGACATAAAAGAATTCAGCTCTGTGGCAGACTGTGACAGGATAAAGAAGTATTGACATCATTATTAATAACATTGCACTCATTTAGTCACTTCTTAAAGAGTAACTCTTTTTAATTGATGTTTTCCTTTTTTTTTTGAAAAGTAAGCTGTTAAATAGCTAGTTTCTCAACTGTTTGTGCTTTAAAAAAGAACGTATCTTGAAAATACTGCTCTGTGAACATGAAAATTTATTATCTATTTGTTAGCATGAGGCTCAGTGTGCCCTTTTTTTCAGAAAACCAACACGGTGTGCTTTCAAGTAACACAGTAATTGCAAATAAGGTTAAAGCAAGATGTTTGTAAAATATGATTCAAGGAACTGACAGAGAAAGTTATTAAAAATAACCAAATCACCTCTGTGAGCTCTGGGGAGCATAGTATTTGTTTTGAGCAGTGTTCCAGCACACCAGAACAGGTTTTGACCTTTACCTAGAAACTGTTCCAACCTATTACAGCTACATGGACACATAATACAAAAGCAACAGTAACATTGAATTATAGTAGGGAATGTTTTTCATATGCCATTTTTTCTTTTCTACAGATAAACAATACTTACAATATTTATGAACAATTAAAAGTATGTGTTTTCTTTTGCAGATGAATTTTAAGTAATCTAAACATCTGCACTGCCTTAAAATTTTAAATTAACATTAGGAAATATTACTTAAGTGTCACTGTGAAGATAATATATAAAAATAAACATAATAACCTTTCCCTATTGACTTGGAAATAATGTGTCAATGTGCTATTCATAGCTCAATCTCTAATCATGAGACCTTCAGCAGGGAAATTTCAGAATTTCATTATTCATCCAGTTCTGTAGCACAGGGCACTCTGTCACCATGCAGCAGCCAACTGAGGTTAAAAATAAATATTATCTGGAAGTTTTGTTTATGCCTGCTGCTAGCTGAGACAAGGGAATATATTGGTGTTTTCAGTATTGTGCAGATATGCTTATGAATAGAAAATGGATGTAAAATGTTCTGTGCTTATTCTCAGATTGCTTTTTACATACTGGCCAACAAGAGAACGGTAGCTAGAATGATTTGGCCTGATAAAGTGATTTGTCTTTATGTGAGAGCAGAATTAAGCCAGCACTGGCTTCTACCAAAAAAACAGTGCATTCTGTTAGTAAAGAACTGATACTCATAACTGCGATAGTTAATTCACAGAAATACCTGTAAGTATGTAAGTACTGTAACTATAGGAAAACCTAATCAGCGTTTTTTTAGGAGATTGATTCTAAAATTTGATGGTTCCTTTTAAGCCAAACCCATTTTTTGAGTTTTATGGATTTTTTCAAAATAATTTAAGTTTAAAACAAGTAAGGTGGAATGAACTTTAACAAGACGTGATTTATAAATTCATAGCCATCATCTAATGTAGCTTCATTTGCCTTATAATTTATAAACATCTACTGTAATTTATTTCTTGTCAGTTCTTGGAGACTCAGAAAATAACTACAGAATAGAATAAATAAGTAGTATTTTCTTTGTGTTTAAATATATTCAAAATTCAGTGTGCAAGGTCTCAGGACAAAACCCAAAATGTGTTTGAACTGGTGGAGAAAAAAATAACCACATTGACTTAAGAGTAGCTTGTATTGAGCTACAGTGATCTATAGACTGCTGAGTTGCTGTGGACATCAGTTGATCATTCTGCCTAAATAAAAATTGGAATGTATTCTAGACTTGCAGTGCTTAAAAGCAAAACAACCCCAAACCACTGTTAGCAGACACTGGTTTATTAATTTTGTTCATTTGTAAATAGTGGCAGCACCCAAACTTCAGATCAGTATAGAACTGTCTCTGCCAGTTCTAATGATAATAAAAACAAGTATTATTTTGACTTCTGAAAAATAGCAATCACAATAATTAAACAAATTTGAAACCTTTAATATTAAGAGAATATTTTAAAAATAATGGACAAGGACACATAAAAATTGAAGAGAATATTAACAGTGGAAGCAACCAGTGTAGCGGTAAATAAAAGACAAGCTCTTTCAGACACTTGTTCCCTTCTTAATATCATGTCTCATTCAAGTTTGCTGTGCCTATTCTCAAAATATCATTCTAGTATTAGAGAGACAACACATACGTTTTGACAAAATTATTCAAGTGGAGAATATCAGTCAAATCCGAAGTGTCAGGGTGTCATACTCTTATAGATTCCTTTGGCAATGAGAGGCTGATTTCTTCATTTCTCTCTGCTTCCTTTCCCCCCTCTCTTATTTTTTCCCCACACACAGCAAGCAGAATTTGTTTACAGCAGTAGTAATTTGTCCATCTACCTTGATCACAAAAATAGTTGTATGGTTGTCAATTTCCATCCACATATCTGACTCTGACATCAGGGCATGCCAGGATATGTAATGTTTTTTACCCTCATTAAATGGATACAATAGTTGACTGCTGACTTGGTTTTGGTAACTGGTAATTAGAAAATCATCATTTGTAATTACTCTTGACAGTTATTGATCACATTGTATTGTAGAAGTAAGTTGTCCTTGGAGATCATCAACAGAATAAATCCACATAATTAATTATATTTAGACTTTGAAACCCTGGCTCAATACTTCTAATTATGGTTTTGTTTAGCTCAGTGGAGTTCACTGTTTTCATAAGGATTTAGCAGTATGTTATTCCACAAGTGTGGAATTGGCACTTTGGGAAAGAGTTGTTTTGAAGGACAACCTTGTACAGAAGTCAGCAGTGCTATGATGTTGAATGTTAGATCTTACATTCACTATATAGAAAGTTGCAAAATATCTAATACTGCAGTTTTTATTCATCAGTACATCTAATATTGTCTTCTAATACTTCTAATAGGATTTTTGCTTGGGTAAAGTTTCAGGATTAGGACCTCAAGTTACAGGAAAACTTTTAGAAACCTCGAACATTTTAACAAAGCATCACAGTCCGGGAATTTATCATGTGTTTTTAGAATCTGTATCTGTATTGTGCTTATTTGGTATTTTTGTTTTATCTGTGCAGGTTTACCTATGAAATTGCTCCTGTTTTTGTCCTCATGGAACAAATAACACTTCGAAAGATGAGGGAGATTATTGGATGGTCAAACAAAGATGGTGATGGAATATTCTCACCTGGTGAGTTTTCTTCTCTGTTCTAGTGGTTTGATTAAAACTTCAAAAGTTAAAATAAACATAGGCTGTGTCTGAATAGTCACAATATCTCCAACACAAAGCAATGTGTCAGATATTTAGAAGTAGGAATGCTTTGTTTAAACATCCCACAGAATAGTTGGGGCAAAAAATTATCTCTGTGTATGGCTATGTACTGTGGCATTTAAAACTTGACTACAATACACAGTTAGGCATTTAAACACCCCTTTTATGAGCTTCTGGCAGTGCTGAGCAACCACAGCTCCTTTTGACTAGAAGTTCTCAAAAATCATGCTTTCTTTGGTGCTGCTTTCTTTGGTGGTCAGCGAGGATTTGGACTCACAGTCAGGTGATTTTTGTCTGTCGCTTTCTGGGACTCGTTATCTGGGATATAATCTGATTGGATTCACAAGTATGACTCCAGAATAAAGAGCAAGACAATGTGTCCTCCCATGCAAGGAACATAACGGCAGTGGGCAGTGACAGAAAGGACTGGTGCTGAAACGTGTGGAGGTCCTGGGCCAACGTGTGGACAATGTGGGTGCCCAGCAGGATTTTTCTGGGTTTGGCATGAGGGAACATCATCCTGTCACAGAGCATAAAGGACAAAACCACCTCCTTTTGGAACAGCCCACATAAAGTGCACACTCCAGTCCTGTCTGCTAGAAAAATGCAGATCTTTCTGTGTTCTCATCAATGACAAAATTTCAGAGAAAGAAGCCATCCTAGGCTTAGGGGTGAGATTGATCTTATTAAAGCTTGAGGTCTGCACCAAAGAACTGAGCTAATGGTTCAGGGCTCTTTTTAGCAGCAAACCAAGAGAAATAGGTGCTTTCCCTGTATTCAAATTCTTCAAAATTAAATATATGAAAATAAATTAGGTGAATCATAGCCTGTGATGTGCCTCTTTCCCATAAATGACTCTGAGAGAGTTTAGACAAAGTAGCTCATCTGTAGAAATCTGCATTTAAGCATCTACTTCTACGCCTACAGTAAGCTGGGATAAATCCACCCAATATGTGACATTTCTTCAATCTCAGACAAGTTAATAAGTTCCTGTTGTTCTTGCTAACAAGAAGTTCATGTAAAAGCAGCACAACAAAAGCTGAACTTCTTAGGAATATGTTACAAAATGGTAGCAATTGAAAGAGATGGCATTTAGGAAATTCTGATTATCACTCTGGTTTTCTCGAGAGTCTGTCCTGTGCTATTTAGACAGATGCCAGTGCATTTCAGAGAAATGCTTTTTCATAGTTCACTGCCACTTTCACTGCATTATGCAAATGAGACACAAGTGTCTGTGGTATAATATGCTTTTTGTTTTCATTATCACTATTTTATTATTCATTTATTTGTTCATTCACAGGAGGCGCGATCTCCAACATGTACAGCATAATGGCTGCACGCTACAAGTATTTCCCTGAAGTTAAAACCAAAGGCATGGCTGCAGTGCCTAAACTGGTTCTCTTTACTTCAGAGCATGTGAGTTTAACACACTGCTAATTCTTAGTTTACTGACATGTTGTGAAAATGCTTTGCCATTAAACAACCACTCCATTTCATGTTCGTTTGCTGCAGAGTCACTACTCAATAAAGAAGGCTGGAGCTGCACTTGGATTTGGAACAGACAATGTTATTTTGATAAAATGCAATGAAAGGTAGGATGAATACTAAAGGTTTGATAGATTAAATGTGTTCATCTGTTAAATTTGTTCTATTGTGTTTAAGGACTGATTCAGTACAGTGTGTCAAGTTGCTAATGGCCTGTTGAGAAAATCCTATTAAATTATTTCAACTGCAGCTATTATTTACATATACATTCTTTAACTTTTTTTGTCTTCCTGTTTCTGTGATAATTACAGAGGCAAAATAATACCAGCTGATTTGGAGGCAAAAATTCTGGAAGCAAAAGAAAAGGTTTGTGTTTTTAAACATTAGTGCTTAAATGCTTGGCTTAGTAAAATTGCTTCTTCCTTCGAAGCCAGAGTGTTGACATAAAAGAGAACATTATAATGATATAAATACAATAGCAGTATTTTTATATGCTTAATTATTAATTCATGTCTTGTTTACAGAATTATCCATATGTCTTGGTAAGGTTTCCATTTTCTGTTTAAAACTAAAAGACTGTTTGGAAATATATGGAAACATAAAAATCTTTTATTTAAACTTTTAAGTTTACCCAAACCCATAAAAGATTCTACAGAGCCCTTAAAAATCCTATAGATTTCATGTAGGTAGCATATATATTTGTTAAATATAGACAGTAAGATTAAATTTTAGGTATTAATTGCTATTTCTTGAAGCAGTGCAGTGGAAAAAACTCATGAATTTTTAATGAAACCAAAGAGAGATCAAGATTTATTTATTTTTTTTATTTCTTAACTTCTTTACATTTGGGAACTCTATGAAATAGCAGTTCACATTTATTTCATCTAATTCAAAATTGTCTCTCTTTCATCGGATAGTTTCTCATTTATTGCTTTTGTTTTAGATTGCTTTGTTCTGCTTTGTTCTGTTTATTAGTAGATAAATACTAAAGGAACAATTTCAAGCCTTCAAATCATGACTTACAAATCGTATTTAATTAATTTTTGTTTTTATTGCTGTAAAAGTCCCAAATTTGCTTGAATATTGCTCATCTTCCACTACATTGTTTGAATCGCCCCACTGAAAGAGATTAGACAAAATAATATTGTTTATCTTCTAACTAGTTAATTTTGTGAAGTTTCAAGAAAATAAAGAAAAAACCAGTTTGTTCTTACCATGTATATGATTAGTTGTTTCTACTGTTGTTTATGTTGTGCTTTCCACATGGGAAGAAAAACGTTTTTAGGTTACAAAATGAGATAATATTTTCAGAATTATTTTCTTTTTTTTTTTTTTGTAGGGATATGTTCCTCTTTTTGTAAATGCAACTGCAGGCACAACAGTATATGGAGCCTTTGATCCAATACAGGAGATTGCAGATATATGTGAGAAATACAACCTCTGGCTCCATGTAGATGTAAGTAACAAAAACATGGTGCTAGTCAGGCAAAAGAGGATCTTAGCTTACACATATTGTCCTTGAATTGAAATATTTATTACTCGACCCTGAGTAAACTAAAATCTGTTGAGCTTTTTCAAAAAAATTAGTCTTCTCTTTTTTTCTGTCTCTTGCAGGCTGCCTGGGGGGGTGGACTCTTAATGTCCCGAAAGCACCGTCACAAATTGAACGGAATAGAAAGGTACTACACAGTGCTTCTTTGTAACACTGTTCTTAAAGTACTTTCATAAGGTACATGACACTTCAACAATTTGTGAAACTATTACTTTGCTACGGTGAGGAGTTCAAACACTAAATTAAACAATGGCGAGGCAAAAGGGAAAGGTTCCGACTGGGGAGATGCAAACAATACTACAGGAGAAATGTGCGATGTACCATTGAGTGAGAGATACGTTTTCCGCAGATTTGAAGGAAGACAAGGATATTACTTGGCAAAAAGGAAGGGAGATTGTTCTATGCATAGCTTTGAAGGGATCATAAGTCTGGGAATGGATGGAGAAGTATTTGAAGTAAAAAATGAAGTGTGAGAGCTAGACAATCTCTGAAATGTAGGGCTTTGAGAATACCAGTAATAAATGAGGGATCCAGGAAAGGTGTTTGAGCATGAATACCCACACTGGGAATTTGTAGAGGTTCTCTCCTGAAAGATGTTTGCAGGTTTTCTGGAAAATGAAGAGTGTATGTTCATGAGTGTTCTATAAATGGAACACATACATATGCTTAGTCTTATATCACTTTTATTTATACATACACACACAAAAACATATGGGTTTATACAACAATGAGAGGAGTCAGAGACTGAATTAGCAGCAATTTTCGGGAGCAAGTTTCAGTACCTTTAAGGCTTGAAAGGACTATGATAGACAGAGCTGCTACACTTCTGCTGTACCAGGGAGAAGACTGAGGTCATTTACAGAGAGGCCATAAAGGATGTCACCTGTCTCAGGGCACAGGGGCCCATATGCTGGTGCCATGTGGGGATTACATGAATCAAGCAGGAAGTTGTTGTTGAGGTCAGAGTGAAGTCTGCAGAAAAGAGCATGTGTGTACCCCTATTTACATAACCCAGCTTGCCAAGATGCTCACTGAGACCAGAAGCCAGCCTTTGATTGAATCAAATTTAAAGAGGCAAAATATTTGTGTTGGTAGTGACAGCAGAGTGAGAATGTGACCCTCCCACTGGTTCTTACAATGTTGACTCAGGAGTCATTCCAGGCGTGGTCTTTGGCACAGTTGTAGCCATATCCAATGATGACAAGTCTGTAGAAGATGCTATATTTATAATCCCATGGGTGTGTTGATCTCTACATTTCCTCTGAAAGCACTCTACCATAAAATGGTGCCCATCTGAGAAAAATCAGAAAAGCAAGGAAGAATCACAAACCTTAGATCTTTTCCATCATTGCAGGTATTAGCCTTCAGGGAAGCAAAAAAATATTTGAAGCAAGTTCTATCCATGTACTTTTAAATTAGCACCAAATTGCTTCCTTGAGTTGGCCATTCTGAGTATGGGCACCATGTAAAATTGTAAAATGAGTACAGTGAGCAATGCTCTTCCTTAGGGAAAACAAACTATCCTAGGTTTGGGCACCTCATACAGTAAGTGAAGAATAAGTACAACACCAAGGATAGTGTATGGAAGGACTGGCAGCAAAACCATGGGGACCTTTCTGTCACAAGGGCAGCAGCATGTGGTGTGGAGTACTCTGAAGCAGGAGAATCCTATCAACCTTTGCCCAGTCCAATTTACTTGTGACTCATGGCAACATGAGTTGACATAAGTCATCATTGCAAAATAATTTTCTTAAGATACAGAGGTTTGGTCGCAGGAGTTTGGCACACCCCTTTTGACCTGAGGTCAACCCTGAGGTGCTAATTAAGGCCATAATTTTAAGCAAATACAGAAAGCAGCAGGCCATGAAGCGTGAAATTATTTCTTTCCCAGTCAGCTATACAGATTTCAAACATGGGATGGGGCCCACGTGTACGGGGTAATGGCCTGTCACGGGCCCAGCTGGGGTCTGTTGATAACACAGGTTGTTCTTGGCCTGCTTGGACACACTGGCATGGAGGACTGGCATGCTGCCATGGCACAGAGCTGGGGTTGCCTGTGGTAGGACAGCCTCTGGCTGGGGCTGCACTGAGGAGAGAGTGACAGCTTCATGTTAAAATAAACCTAATGCTCCTTGCGAGGAATGACTTGAAATTGTCTTTGTTTGAAACCCTGAAAGTTAAATGATTGTGCTAAACTCAAGGCATGGTGCTTTCAAAAGGAAATAAGTTGTTATGTAAATTACTTTTTCCTGACTGCTTCATCTGAACTATTAGTGAAGTTTTTCTAAAAGATAAGTTTGAGCTATTTATCTGCTGGTTTGCACTGCATAAGCAGCCAATGTTAGATGGATGGTGAGCTCCCCAGGTACAGCACAGGCTGAACTGTTCTTTCAGCTGAGGGTGCTACAGTCTAACCTAGCACCCACAGGGATTGGAATTGTATCTAGAAATCAGTGCTCCCCAGACTGGGGTGAAGACATCACTGTGTTGCTCAAAACAGCGAACCTGTGGTTGTGTCTGTGTCCTCTGAGAGCAGGGTGTAGAAGAGGAGGAAATACCTTTTAGTTTTCTTTCAACCACATTGTGAAAACACATGCACAGTCTGTGAAATACAATTATGCACTTTGCTTCTCTGGAACATGCAGTGAATCAAGGGGACGCTTGGTAATTAATTACTTGGGGTGAAAAGGTCAATGGATGTGCAACGTTGGCACATTTATTTCAGTGTCACCATTAAACTGTCGAGGATAGTATGTTAAAATACAGAACATCTGTTTGACATGTAAATTAGGTGATCTTTTGCATGGAATTGTGTTTACATGTAAGAAATGTTAAGCTTTACATAGAGTATGGTAGGATAAGATGTACAGTTTTAGAGCCTTTTAACAGTCCCTGGGCTTGACAAGCAAGGGCTGTGGCTCTAACTGGGAAAGCAGGGAAGCATGCAGAACATCTTTTTATTTCCTTTCTATTTTTCCAGCAGCTGTTCAGTAAAGAACTGTATTCTCCCACAATTCATATTAGTCCCTTAATTGTCTGACATCCCCACATTCCCCATCAGTACCTTGAATCGATAGAACATATCACAGTGGTTTTGTTATTTTTATTAGTGCTATTTCTAGAAGAGAACTCTTCTGGGGATGATATTACTGTATCAGCTAATCAGTCTGATACTAATTAGCTGATATTAGTAATAATATAAAATAATCACAAGTCTGACATTGCAATGCTAGCATGAAAAAAATTTCCTTGCCTGGACAGCATAGCTGGGAAAGAAGACACTTAAGACAACAATAATACCCATAGTGATATCATCATGGTCAAAACTCCATATATTTCCAGCTGAAAGCAGAAAACAAAGGTGACTGCTTCAGATTAAGTTTCTGTTTACCAGACCTATCTGAATGTGTAATTTTTTTGCAGAGCCAACTCAGTCACTTGGAATCCACACAAGATGATGGGAGTGTTGTTACAATGTTCTGCCATTCTTGTCCGGGAGAAGGTCTGCCTTATATTTAATAATTAAACATTACAAAGAAAACAAAAGTAAATATCAAGCCCTACTTTTAAAGAGGGTACTGCAAAATTTGTTTAATTTCAAAACTTCTTTTGGAAGGAATAATTGTGTGGATTTACACTGCATTTTGGAAGTTGTTTTATCTGTCCTGTGGGGTTTGGCTTTTTTTAATTAAAGTTGTAGACAGCATGGGTCAGATCCTCACCTGTTGGATCTTTGCATATTCTGATAGCAACAATAGAGACATGCTAACGTACTTCATCTGAGCACCTGCCCCATTGTTTCTATGATATATGGAACATAGGGCCTCAGTCTCAGTACTTGGTCACAGTCTAAACTGCTTAAGTAAGAAGCAAGTTTTTACCTTACATAGTGGTTTAGAAGTTTCCCAGTTCTGTTGAAAAGAAAACATGCTGGTCTTATTATGACTCTTTGAGGACTGGCATCTAGATTCTTAGTTGCCATCAATTAAAGGAAAACCTTGTGTCTTGTATCTTTTAAGAAATACATATTTTTATTAAATGATAATAAAAGAAAATCATATCATGTGTGGTATCATATGTGGGTAGGACTAATGATGTTGTCTACTAACCTCTTGTATGCCAATTGCTACTAGAAGCACTTAGTTGAAGAAGTAATCCCTGTGTATAGAACTGGGATGGAGAGTTGGAAGTTGCAGCCCTAGGTCTGCCATTGCTCTTCCAACCAATCCATCTCTAAACTGAGGAGCGCAGCATTAGTTTCCCTTCATAAAACACATCTATCAGAGCGAAGCACAAGCCTTTGTTTAGTGGCATGCATGCATGTGCCAGCTATTGCAGGATTTTGGCTAGAGTTTTTGTTCTCTATATGAGAACTTTGATAGATGTTTTTGTATTTATGAGACACACTGGTGTCTTCAAGTTTCTTGCAAAAAACAGTTATAAACTCTAAAGGAAATGCAAACCATTTTAGAAATGTCACATGTAAGATCTCTGTGTAACATACAGGAATTTGCTGCTCGGTGTTTCCACCAGACGTTTTTACCAGTATTCCCTAGATTTCTGTTATTCTGTGAACCATATTTATTTATATGCAAAAAATGTCCAGTCTATGTCATTTGTGCTTATACTTATCACTAATGTTAAGTATCATAAAGCTGAACAACATACAAAGTTTAAACCTTCAATTAAGTTTTTAAACTCCTTTTTGTGTAGCAATCTGTTGCACTGAGAGACCACAGCTTTATTCTCATGTGTAATTTAACAAATCATAAATTTAAGTTTAAAGAACATAGCCTTATAAATTGAAGTGGGTAAAGCTAATATCACAAACTAAGTATCCAAATTAATCTGTGAATGTTTTCTCAGCGGGTTGTTTGTGTGTGTAAAATCATATGGCTACTCAGAGACTTCTAAGAGAACCACCTTAGGTTAATGAAATTAATTTTGTGGCTCAGGTTTGCAAAACAAGGTCAGTATGTTATAATATGTCCCATCAAAGAACAATCCTCCTGTACACGTTTGAAATACATTTTTATACATTATTAATGTGTACATTCTCTCATGCACAAATGCCAGGTAAGTCATATAAGCATACATGTTTTTTGTTGTAGGGTATTCTTCAAGGCTGCAATCAAATGTGTGCAGGCTATCTCTTCCAGCCAGACAAACAGTATGACGTCTCCTATGACACTGGAGATAAGGCAATACAGTGTGGTCGACATGTAGACATTTTCAAATTCTGGTTGATGTGGAAAGCAAAGGTAAATAACAAAAGCTTAGCTCAAAAACCAGAAATGCACTTATTTAATTTCTAAGTGTCATGTAATGGAATACTTCATTTTAACATAAATCCTTGTGTCATTACCATCTCTAAACACACAAATATCCAAGTATTGACTCAGAAAGGAACTATCTGAATTGTGGAACAATGCTAGCTGTCAGTAAATTTAGCTGGCAATTAGAAGAAAGATTTAAGTCACTAGATGAGTCCTGCAGAAAAGCCACTGAGTGCAGGGCACCAAAATGATGTCTTGTTGTGATGTTCTACACTTGGATACGTGTTTTGTGACAGATTACTTGTAACAGCAGAGCAGCCTTGATGACTTACAAGGGAACTTTGAACATGACATTTCAATGCATGGATTTTATAAGCAACTTTTTAGCTTAAAACAAAGCCTTTTTCTGAGGAAGCATTGCCCAAGTGACAATTCCACAGATGATTACCTGGTACTACTGTGGTGTGCCTGGATGGCTGAATTTAAGCATGGGCTTTTGTCCAGGCTCGCATGCTCACAAGATGAGGGCTCATGTAGTCAAGAAAACACATTCAATTTTTATTGCTTTATCTGCAGTCATCTCATTAATGTTATTCTTGATCTTCTGCTGGCAAAATGGGAATTCAGTTGGGTGACCTGTCCAGAGTCTAATTTTAAAAATATAACTGATATTAAATCTAATGATAAACTCTAAAATCATAAACCAATTTTTACTTTGGGAGAAAATGCTTGCTTCTTCATTCATGTACAAAGTGTACTTAAAAAAAAGCCCCAACTATTTATTATCAGTATTTATATACTTTTTCTGGGATTATGACCTTGACAAGATATCAGTGGGTAGGCAAGTGACTTCTAGTAAATATATTGCAGACTTTTGCTTGCTGATTAAATGCACATTTCTAACAAACTGTTCAGAGGTAATATTTTACTGTCTAATTCTTACACTTTCAACTGGGTTCCCATTCCAAGTTTCTGGTCTTTCAGCAGCAGCTGTGAAGCCAGGTCATAATATCCATAATATTTTTGGAAACCCGAAAAATATAAAAGGCCTAAAATAATTTACTAAAAATAGTGAAAGTCCTTGTTATTTTCATAATAAATTGTCTTAAAATGAGACAAACCAAATAGTGACTTACAATTGGGCCACCATTAGCCACTTTTTTACCATTGATTAACACTATTTTTAAGTTAAAAGAAGTAATACTGCTAAATGTGTTCTGCCTGAAAATATTTAAGAGTGAAACCTATCTGAAAAGGTGATTGCTTTACAGCAGGAAAAAAAATGACCATATAACGAATACCTACTTTCTTATTAAAATAGGGTACAGTAGGATTTGAAAATCAGATCAATAAATGCCTGGAGCTGGCAGAATATCTCTACACTAAAATCAAAAACAGAGAAGAATTTGAGATGGTTTTTGAAGGGCAGGTAAGTTTGTTTTCACATATGTATGAGCCAAATCTGTCTTCATGCTTCTCACAGTTCTTCAAGACAACTATGCATAACTGCTCTGATTTTCTAAAGAACTACATGACTATTGGGATCTGGGCAGATTTTTTTGTCAAATACATGTGGTTTTGTACTATAAATGTCAGGTTTATCTCCTCCTCTTCTGCAGAGGCCTCCTCAGTTTAGGGCATGAAGATTACCTTAATACTACCTACTCATACTGAGATCATTAGTACACAACTGAGAATCTGCTGTTTTTACTGTACATTCTTTTGCAAGTGCCAGTACATAAACCTTTGGATCATAGTATAAATTTCATTTCCCTCTTTGCTAAGGAAAGCAAAATTGGGTTGCCCTTGATGTGATCCTGAAAAACTGTTACTTATGGAACTGCATAAGGGTGAAAAGCATTTGCACTTCATTAGCAACCTAAATATTGCAAATGGGACAATGTATAGGGAGTCTAAGGCGGCAGAGGCAAGCAGCAGTACTGTAATCTATTTCTGTCTGTTTAACATGAAGGACTAGGAAAGTTAATACTGTATTTTGTCTTTCATGTCTGTGATAAAATATGCTACTGACTAGCCTTTAGTGTGGGACTGATCTGTATAATTTTTTTAATTGATGCATATGCTTGGTTCTTTTTGCAGCCAGAGCATACAAATGTATGTTTTTGGTATATTCCTCCAAGTCTCAGGGGCATGCCAGACTCTGATGAGAGAAGAGAAAAATTACACAGGGTAAGTATTTTTGGTCAAATGTAAAAAGATAATTCTAAATTCTGAGACATCAGTTCTCCATTGCTTGTTATGACCTTGATATTTGTTCATTTTTGTCTTTTATTTATATTGATGCTCAAGTAATGTTTTCCCTATAGAAGCAGATTCAGAACATATTCAGTTATCCTGTCCTCACAAGTGTTACAAGCCTTCAAAAAGTAGCTAGGCCTACAGACATCAGGGTCTTTGGATAGGACAGCTTATCAACAAGAGGAACAGAAGGGTAATTGTTTGAAAATGCTTGGACAGGTAAAGGACATGAAAACCTGTAAGTTCCTTCTCAGGTACTTATTTTGATTTTAAATGCCAATGCGTTAATGCATTTCAGTGAAAATTAATACCCTTTGGAGGACTTTGGGATACATTTATTTGAAGTGGTAGAGGAAAGTGAAGGTGTCATAGAAGCACCACCAGAAAAGATATGATGTTATGCAGGACTTGAGGGAAGCCAAATACAGTAATTGCTCTTTCGTGTGTGTGTGTGTGTTAAGGAAGGGAGAAGAATGAGCAAACTTGGGAGATTTTGTAGAGGATTTAATGACTGCATCACAATGGGGAAAGAGAATGGAAGAGAATAGAAATTCTTGGGTAAAATTCCTGGGTCAAGCCAGTCCCATGTTTGATAAAGAAATTGCCAAAAAAAGAGAGAATAGAGGAAGATAGAGGTAAGAAGTAAGAAACAGCAAGAGGGATGAAATATTTGATTTAACCCTGTTAAATGCTAGAGGACATCATAAAGCATTCTACAAAACAGAAAAAGAGCCAGACATCTGACCTTGCCTGGCAGAGAGCAGAGCAGGAGAATGAAGGTCTGGATGGAAAAACTGGGCTTAGTCAATACCAAATATTAAGACTGTCAGAACATTATTCCTTGTAAATTAAACCAAGGAAGTGAGATTGTGGTAAATGCACAGTACTGCAAAACTATTGGAAGGTTTCCATGGCTTATCCTAACAAAAAATATTCTTTGTGACATAGATCTTGTTGAAAAATTTCCATTGTTGTCCCCACATACAAAATGCTTTGAGAATACATAATATTCTCATGGAAAACATCCACTACCCTCAAAAAGGTCTGGAGAGGACATTCATACAGAAGCAGAAAATGTTTCATCATGACAAAAATCTTCAGCACAAAGAAATGAGATATATATTTAATATATAAAATTATTGCATAGTGAATACTCTAGGATACTATTAATTTGTAAATCAAAAAGATGGATATTATTGTTGTCAATTTTCGTTTAAATAGCCAATCTTATATATTTAGTTTTTCAAGCTTTTTCTTGTTACAGACAATTCTTATTAAAACAAATGCCTGTCAATTTATGTTTTCTGAATTAAGAAATGCTGTGATATACAAGGAAAGAATAATTTTTTCTTCTTTCTTTGTCTTTTTTTTTTTTTTTATGATAAAGGTGGCACCAAAAATCAAGGCATTGATGATGGAGTCAGGTACCACCATGGTTGGCTATCAGCCTCAGGGCGATAAAGTCAACTTCTTCCGAATGGTCATCTCCAACCCAGCAGCAACTAAGTCTGACATTGACTTCCTCATTGAGGAAATTGAGAGATTGGGGCAGGAGCTGTAGTGGTTGAATGATTTATTTCTTGAATTCACTGTTTTCCAGCACTGGCTATTTTTTAAACCCGGTTCTGCAGAACATGTTTAAAGGAAATTCTCTTTCTGTAAGTTGCAATCTCCTAAGACATCCTTAAACAACTATAGGCTACTGAAATATATATGTATTGGTAGATCATATTATTGAGGGAAAATGTATTATCTTGAAGTTGAATTACTATTGACTCTTACATTGGTCTTGTTTATTGTAGACAGCAGAAAATTAATAGGTATTAAAATAGCAAATTAAGAACTCTGACAGTATATATGTACAGTATAAATAAATATATATAATTATATATATACATACATATATATATATATATAAAGTGGTTATAAACTTAGATCAAAGCCACAGCATGTTTTCCACTTTAAGAAAATTAAGTTTTCCTTCAACAACTTTGATGTGGATAATGTGCTACAAGTTTTTCTGCCAGACAGAAATGGACATATAGAAACATTTCTAAAATGTAGATTCTTAGGAGCTAAAGAAAATGTATAACAGTATTAGATCTTATTGTTGGTGCTTTTCTCACATACAAAACAGCAATCTCTAAGAGCACCTTTGAGTAAAATAGTTGTACTTGCCCTTTAGTGTCAAATCAGGGGATCACAGTAGCAGAGTCATTGTAACAGGTATATTATTGCTGTATTTTTAGAGGTTAATTTGTGTAGATTGTGTATATTATTGTTAAATTACTTTGTGTAAAAGGATTTAATGTAATAGTTTTACAGCAAGATAACTGTTTAATTGTAGGTATCTGAAATATTTGCTTATTTATATGCAGAGATTTACCATGCTGAAGAGTTGTCTTGTATTTTCTTCCGTTTGTAATGTAACCTATTTATATATTATTGAAGTTCTAAATAATGTTTATGGTATTTTAGTGTCTTTGTGAGCCAAAGAACAAATATGAAAATATTAGTTGACACTTTTGTTTAAATCCTAGTGCCCTTAAAGTAATAACTTACAGATAATTTTACTGAAGATAAGGAATTCTGACCTTGTGTATAGACTATGAAATTATGGGATCCCTTTAATCTATTAGAATTATTAGAAATTTCCATTTTATTTATTGTAATGTCAGACTGTTCAGTGTTCTGAATGCTTTTCTGGTGAATATTGATTGCTAACCAAGGCCCCTGTTTTTGAGTTTTATTTCAGAACTGACCTCTGTGACCATTTTAACTAAATTCTGTGGGAGTTTTAACCAGCATCATTCTTTTAGTGAAATGTAATTCACTATCTGTTTGGAGCTTATAAAATAAATAAAACCAAAAGTAATCTCAGTATCTTTTAATACAACTAGCTTGTCCCAATAATTTCAACTGGTTAGTCTTTTCAAAGTATAGACACCAGATTCATCTGCAGCTTGATCAATTTTAATCATTAGATAATCAATATTACTGAGTGGAAAAGTCCATACTGGAAACAGAGTAGTGGAACAAAATGGAGATTCAATAATCCTCTGTTCACTGAGTTAGTGTCATGGTGATAAATGGAATATGCTAATTTCAAGTGTTTTCATACATGATTCTTTGCAAAGCAGTAATTAATTGCTTTTTCTCCCTCCCCTCCACCTCAGTAAAAAAATTCAATTATTTTAGGAACTTTCAGTGAAATACAGTCATGCCATGCAGTTTTTGCAGTCTCTCTGGCCCCTGTCAATCCTGTGGAAGGACACCTACAGGCAAGAGAGATTTCCATCCTGCAGGTCCCACTGGCTGTCTTTTGAGGATGGTGTCTCATGTTTGTGGCTGTGTCAGCACAGGGAGAAGGAAGAAGCAGTTATGGTAAATGCTGTGTCCTACAGCACAGCCTTTCCAGCTTTTCATAGGACTCTTGCTTATTCCTCTTTCATAATCTTCTGTAACATCTTTTCTTCAAATTGAGTTGAATATAAAAATTGTCACTGACCTTTAGACTTATGAGTATGACTCAAAATAGATCTGCATTGTTACTTCATATCATTAAACCCCCTAGTAATCTTACCAATACACTATTTCTTTCATTAGGTTTTTTTCAAGACAGTGTAGTTGGTTTCATGCCTTCTTGATCTTAAACCTCAATCTTCCTCATTTACAAGACTATTGTATTACTGTGTATTCAATACTTGACATTTCCTGATATAAACATCCATGCTGTATGACCTGAGGCCTGCAGTACAGATGTAGTTGGCATAAACATTGACTTCAGTACTAACTTCCATGATATTGAATGCCATTCTTTATAGATACCAGCTATTCATCAAAACTAGAGGACCTCTCATTGAGAGCTGTTCTTAGAGTACAGAGAGAAGTTTGTTTTGAAGAAGCACAATGTCACATTTTTATTTCAGGCTTCTGTCTGAAATCTGGTCTCAGTTTTACTTTATTCAAAGGGCAGCTACAGAAGATTGAAAAAATTCTTTCAGTCCTTCTTGTTCATGAGAAACAATAAGAGCTAATATAATTAATCCAAAGACATATAACTGGTGACTTAGTTTCACTAGAGGATTTTATGTCTTCCACACAAACACCATGGTTCTTATGAATTCCATTATGAATTCTTAGGTGGGAATTTCTGATTTCCTTCACCTCCCTTGCCAATAACAGTATTACTAAAGCTCTATCTTCCCCTCAGTCCTCTAACCTTAATATTTTAACCTCGTGTAACCAAATCACCATCTCAATATTCTAATAGTAGTTTAATGTATCTGAGATGTTAATTCTCCTTGAAGCATATAAACGAGGTGAAGAGAACCATCTTCATCCTGACCATGAAGCTGTAGGGAGGACCGTGGTACAGCTGATGGCATTTATACAGCATGCCCCTGACACTTCTGGGATGGAGTCAGAGACAGATCTAGAGCTCCTCAGTGCACATATCATGTTTTGCTCACCAAAATGTCTGCTTCTTCCTTTTATGGAGTATTTTGTGTTTTGAAAAAGCATCAGAGGTTCTTCCTATTGCCATTGATGGTTTGCAGTTAAGTGGGAATAATGGAGTTCCTCCTGCTTTCTTTGGAAGCAAGACAGTTAATGCATAGGTGTTGTCTCTAAAGATAGAGGGCTTAGATTTATCTTCCTACCCTCTGCATTTATCTTGCTTTTCTGCAGTGTTGTGTCTTGACACAGATGACCACAATTGGATTTTTGCAAAGCTTTTGATTCTAATATCAGACTCTGGGGTGTTTTCCTATCACATATACTGTGTTTAACAGGCGTCGTGCTCGTATTAATTTCTGACTTGGTTAACTGATTTTAACAGAGCAGTTACAGTCATTATTGAGAAAACTCATCTCTTTTCTTATTAGGTCATTTCCATCTGAATAACATGCCACAGCTTCTCAGATTAATGCTGACCTGGAACTTTCCTTCTTTTAAATCCATATACTATTGACTGTGAGAGATTAGGATGTATGGATATACAGGATTATTGACTAATGTAAAGCATTTTAATTCCAGGTGAGCAACTTTGTTTTTCTGAGGTTTAAAATACACTCTGAGCTAGCAATTTTACCTTTAAAATCACAGGGACAATCACTGTAACTTTGCATGGGTGAATTCAGATCAATTAAACAATAGGCAAAATCTTAGCTGAACAGGTAGCTGCAGTGCTTATGAACTGATATAATTTATTTGGAAAAGACTGACCACTGGACAAAAATCAAGAGCAGCTGGTGATTTTGAATGATAAAAATTCTGATTGTGTTGTTAAAGGTAATTTTTAGAAAAGATAGATTATACCATTAATGGCAGAGAGCCAGAAGCAGGGGCCTTGGGAATAATCCAGAATTTTAAAATCATCATGAAGTTAGCTCATAATCTGTTTTTTGAATGGTGACAAATATGAAGAGATTTTTTAAACAGAATCTCTGTTTTGTGGTTTAAGAAATGTTGAAGTTATAAAGAAGTTATGCAATGCAGTTTTAATTTTTCAATAAAAGTTTATCTTAAAAATTACTAATTTGTCTCATAATTTTTGTGAGATATTTTGTTTCTTAAGAATATGAGACAAAAGCTATGCAACATTATCCTTTGCCTTAAAAATAGTAAGGCAAATATTAAGGCAACTATTTAATTTTAATTGTGGATTGAATGTGAGCTTGTAGCAACAGAGACCGAGGAAGAACCACAAGCACAGAACCTTGGTCGGTTTGGACAGGATTGTTGAGACATTACTAATGTGTGTAATATGAAAAAAGTGCTTTAAAATCTTGGATTCTAGACCACGTTTGGGGTAACCCACTGTTCTCTTGTAGGAGATTAAATAATTTTATTTTTTTACACCAAAGAGATTGAAAAATAAGAGTACATTTTGAATTAATTAAAGTATAAAATTCTTTTTTTCATGGTGTAGATAAATTCTGATTAATTGCTGCTCTATGCATTATCTATAGAACTGTCACTGATTTTAACGGTATATAGGAAACTTTATTTTTATTGCTTTAGGGGAGGATGAACATCCTTCAAGTAGGATGAGATTTCTTAAGAACAGTTTTATTTCCAAGTTAAATATTTCATGAAGCAAATTAGTCACGAGAAAAATATATGCAAAAACTTATAAGTCAATTAGTGTAGCATACAAATGCCATCATGTAAAGCACTAAAAATTATGGAGGATGATTGTATGGTGTGAGTATTAAGGAATGTTCAGCTTACTCACAGACTGGTCAGTGAAGTGTTAGGACCACAACAAGGCTGTGTGTAGTTAGCACAGCTCTCTGTGGTCAACAGAATTACACCTGCCTGGATTTCTTCTGCAGTGTTCTATAATTTGCAAGTCATGACAGTTATGCTGAGGGTGATGATACATGAATTGGGAGCACTGTTCACTCAAACAGCAACTAAGTGAGGAGGAGATGAGAAGATGCAAGCACTGTCTGAAAGCAAAAGATGGAAGGAAGGATGGCTGCAAAACACAGAAGGATTTCTGTTTCCTTTGAGTATTTGAAAGAATCAGACTTTTGGACAAAGCAAAATTAAAATTTTGGTTAAAAGAAAAGGTAAGATACAAGAAGGGTATTTTATTTAGACCTGGTAAAGACTGAGAAAAGTTCTGGTTGTCTGCTTTAATTGATCTACCTACTGTGGAAAAATGGAGCTTTGTTTAGTAATGATGATAACAGAAAAAGCTGAAGACCTTGAGTTATTTCTGCTATGTATAAGTACTCTGTTCAGCACCTGAATGTAATTATTTCAGATTGGATAAGTATACTTGAGATGTATATTTGTGAGTGTATTTATA